TCCTGCTGGGGCTTGGGCTGTAGAGGAGCAAAGCACTGCCTTGTCCTTCATTAGAGACCCTCCATGTCCTTGCAGGGGGTTTGGACCGGGCTGGGAGAGTGAGCCAGTCCAGGAGATGCGGGGAGAGACCCAAGCGAGGGATTAGAGGCTTGGTTTTAAAAGGAAAGCAACTGTTTTAATAATAGTATTGAGTCCTTGGGTGGTTTAGGGGATTAATTAGTCCATGTTTGCATGCTTTGAAGAGGTCAAATGTGCTGCAATAGCCAGGGGCAGGTGGCAAAGCAACGTTGATGGTGGGTTCCCAGGTCCCAGGCATCACTTCCCTCTCCATCTGTGCCTGCAACAGGCTTTTATTTTTGGAGCGGTTGTGAACGGGTGGGATGAACAGAGGGGTTAAGTCTGAGGGGTTTGATGCTACTGGTGAGCAGACCTGCCATGCACGATAAAGCAGTGCAAAGCGTGCTTGGTCCTCCACCATAAACCCAGGCAATAAATACTCCTATCTGTTGCTATTGCAGTATTTGCAGCTGAGCATCATAATGGTTAGAGTATTAGGGGCAGGGTACACTTGGTTTCCATAACAGTTACTGCAAGGTAGAGTCTGTGGTTTCTAAAAAAGTTGTAAATTACTATATGAAATCACAACACTCTTTAAAAGACTTGTAACTTTAAAAAATCCAAACTTGTTTGGGTGGCCATCCGCACACTTCAGCTGACACAGAGCTCCTTTTATATTTATATTTTTTCCAAATTAATTCAGCCGACCTGATACTACAGCTTAAATTGAATGAAATAATGGAAGCGGATGGAAGTGTTGCCAGCACTTTCAAATGCTGAAAAGAAAGCCAATATACATACATCTTGGCTTATGTAAGCACTCTATGCTTGACAAAGTATACCTTAGGGCTCAGGGCCTTGTAGCTATCCCTGTATGTAAATTAATAGCACTATCAACTTTTTTGCCATCTGGAGAATGGATTAAAATATCCAAAATAGGACGGAAAACTCATGTAATATAAGACAACTTGGGCAAGACAGAAACCTCATTTTCTCCATAAAGCCTAGGTTAGGTCTGGCTGTGTGGTTGTTTTCTTCTGCTCTCTGTCCCACTTGGAACTACGGTGTAGCTAGTACACTTTCCTGGGTTTGGGAGCTCTGGGGTGCAGTGACGCTCAGCCAGCTCTGCATGGTGCTGGCACAGGCCCTGCAAAGCCTGGGCTCTGTAATGTGCAAAACTGAGCACCTTGCTTGCAGATGCAATAAAGCTGCAATCATGCACTAGTATACCAGAGCTGGTAAGTCTTCCTTGAGTTTATTTCCTTGAGCATCTGCCTCCTGGATAGCCCAGCCCGCAGGTAAGGCCCTTGCAGAGTCCCCTTTGCAGGGAGAATGTAAAGGCCAATTAGATTGCCACGGCTGCACCCTACCAACCAGTCAAGACCAAAAAATTCCCTCATTAAAGACTTTAAGAACAATCAGCTTCAGGCATGTTTAATCCCTGTGTGAAGCCATGTCCTATCTTTGCAGTTTGGAAAGGTGCTTTGGGAAAATCCCACTCACTGCACACCCGAGGAATCATCGAATTGGCAGGAGCTATAACGTGTGGCACGGGACGGTCTCCCTTGGCATACGTTGGCTACGGATGCTACTGTGGACTGGGAGGACAAGGCTGGCCTAGAGATAAAACAGACTGGTAAGAACAACCTCAAGTATGTGTCCAGAAGCGGTGCAGATCTCTCCAGTCTTCCCTGTTCATACTCCTGTGACTTCATGAACTCGTTACTGCCTTGTGGAGAAGGAACTTAGTATATATGGACAGCACAGGGCAATTGTGAGTGAGGACCCACATATCACTTAGGGTTTGAATGAGGATTTAACCACCTTCTGGATGAGGGTGTAGCTCCTGGGACCTGGTACTCTGTGGGGTGGAGGGCAAAGGAGGAACCAGGGTATGATTTCATGAAATAGCTGCATGTTTATTAATAGAGAGTAAGACCTGCTTGAAAAAAGGGGAGTGACCAAGGTATTTAGAGGGTTATTTCACCCAGGTCCTGAAAATGGCAGTGATAGGAATATCACTGTTTATCCTCTGGAAGGAATCCAGAGCATTGCAAGGAGTAATCAAACCTGTTGCCTTCATTACCTGTTCATACTGTATCAAGGAAGAACAACAACAGAACATGGTATTATTTCCCCTCTTCACTGTTAGTGGGGAAGATGTTGTGCTTGTTATTCCCGAGGCTACAAGCAAGAAGTATAGGAGGTGTTGCAATAAAAGGTACTTTGATTCTTGTACTTTGTGATTAGCATACATGTAAATCTTGAGCATGGTAGACTCATGTGTGCTCTGAGCCCATTATTTGCAATCTTATCTGGTTTTAAACCTCAAAGGCAGAGCACACAAGTCTATCTGCAGTCAACAGCCTGGGTGCTACCAATAAGCAAGCACTGGTTTTAGCATGGGTGAAGGCAGAGTGCAGCACACTGGGAAGGAAACCAGGCTTTCCAGAATACCCAGCTGTTGGAGACATTTCACACTGTAACAAAGTCAAGCTTTGCTAAATTGGCAGGACGAAGGGAAAAAAGGGAGAAAAGATGCCAAGGTTAAAGGACAGCTCTGTGGATGTAAAAGAGCAGGTGTGCTTCATAACTAGTGGAGATGTCTTCATAAATGTGAACAGATGTTTCACACCCAAAGCTGTCTCTTCACATCCATGGTTTGTATCTATGAGACATTTAATCCGTAAAACAGTCAATACAGGACTTAAAAATAGTGAGTAACTGCCTACAAAGTGTCATAACTTTCAGGTGTAGAGATTTCTTTTCAATTTCTGTAGTATCTCTTGACCTGCTTATCACCATCTAGAAGTGTCTGTAAATGTGTTTATTATTTTTGTTAGCCCTTTACCAACTCTCATAATCAGACCTCTAAAATTAAACACGACTTCACTAATCTGGAGTACTTCCTTTACCAAAGGGCTGAGCAGAAAAGCTAAAAAGCTAAAAGCTAAACCTAAAAGCTGTTTTCCATAGAGGATGAGTGACTCCGCCAAGTTTAGGTGACTCTGGGAGATGTGAGAAGTCAGCACTCCTGAAAAACAGCCAGAGCAAAATATAGCCACGTGTTCATCAGCCAATGTTTCTGCTGCTGTTTGATTTCCATAGGATGTGGATTTTATCCTATCAGCAGAAAACGAGACTCTGCAACTGGAAATGTCTCAAAATACCAGATAGTTTGTAAAAAGAAGGCTTTATCTGTTGATCATTATCATTCCTTAGCTGCAATGCTTGGCAGCCAAAATTAAAAAAGGAAAAAAAAAACCAAACCAAAACAAAAAGAATTTTAGTCAGGTTCAGCAATGCCCCACTAGAATTAGCCCTAAAAATTTCCATTTTATGTTTGCTAGAGAAATCTTGTGATATCTGTTACTGAAAACTACTGCAAAAATCAGTGTGGTTGAGTATCCCACGCCTGTCACAGTGAGCACATTATTTTCCATATTTGCCATTCTGAAAAGAAAGAAGTGGGGTGGCAAAGCTACTGGCCTTGAGTGACAAACACTGTTTGAAATTGGTCACTCCCTTGACACTTCTAGGTTTGTCACTGAGACCCTTACAAAAGGAGTAATTTTCTTGCAAGTCAGTAATTCTGTCTAGACAGGGCTAGAGTGCTTCTAAGCACTTCTCCTTTATGGGGACAAAAAAAAAAAAGGCATCCAGTGAGTAATCCTTTTACAAGGTCTATTCCACACACTGACCTTGATGCGGCAGTGTCAGTAATTACCTTTTCCCTTTTGTTCCACTCTCACAGTCTCATCACTTCAAGACATAATGGCATCTCTGCTGCATAAAGTCAATAGATCTGTTTCTCCTTCCCCTTTCTGTTCCCCTGGATTGCTGCAGCACTCATTTTGTAATGCAAGACCTGAACGTGGTCCGCATCTTCCTGAAACCACTGAATGCCATGAAAGGCAGGGTGGCACATACGGCTCATCTAAGTCCAGGCAAAGTCGGGAAGAGTAAGATTTTCCCCTCAGTTGCTGTTTTGCAAAACAGAAGGACACAGAGTGGTGACTGTGCTGTTAAGTGACAAACACAACATGACAAATTCTTACCTTAATGGCATTTGCTCAACGGCAGGGGTCTGGCCAGCTGATCCCTGTGGGCCAGCAGGAGCTGTCTGTAGCCATTAGGGCTGTCTTGTTGCCCAGATGTGATGAATAGGTCACTTACTAGCTAGATGACAGAGTTGTGTTTTTTCTCCATACCTGTTGACCAGTGCTGTGCCATAGTGTTAGCTGGCTCTGTTTGCATTGGTCTAACGGAGTGTTAGCAGGTTATTCAAAGCTTAACACCACACTATGACCCAGGTGCAGGAAAGGGCATTTCCAGACAGGATGGAACCATCAAAGGTGGCGAAGGACAATGACAGGTTTCCTCACTCTTCATTCCCTAGTAGTTCTTTTAAAGCATCTGAAAGATGTTTGTAAAATATGAGCCAAAGTCTTCTCACTTTGTATTGGTGTAAGCTATGTGTAGCCTATCTGCAGTCATGGAGATAGTAGTGTAAGTGGAAGCAGAATTGTGCCCCAAATCCTGTGGTCCTGCAGGATTTATGCAATCCCCCTGATTTCACCAAGCCAGCTAATGAGCAGTGAGTTACCACAGCTAGCTGGGACACCTCTCCAGTGTGCTTTTGGTTGTCCTTGCCTGATTCACAGACCATCTTTCGCCCCTTCCAAGATATTTTCTCACTTTTCTCCTACCTCTTTTCTGTTTGTTCCCTCTGGCTATCCATGAAAAGCAATTTCATTGCCATGGCCCGCAGGTTCCTAACTCTTCCCTTTGCCCATCTACCTTTGTGTTGTTCCTCCTCCCCACAGTCCTCCATCACTGACACCAGCTTTACCAATTTGTCTGCTGAATCACTCCCCAGACGTCATAAATTCTACAATTTCTACAGCTGGCATTCCTCCTTAGCTCAGCCTGATTCCTGGCTCTCCACTGTTGCCTCTTGTGCTCTATGTCCCATATAGGAGACACCCATGATGAGTCTGCTTTGCCATCTACCTCCTTGAGGATGGATGAGGCTGTGCTGCAGCTTCAGATATGTTAGCCAGGGTGCCCTGGGCTACAACAGCTCCTCCAGATGACGTGTGCCCCAGTTGTAACTCAGGGCTGGAGTCCATCCTAGTCGTAACATATGGCACATTGCATAGGGACTGGCACATTGAAGAATGCTGGGACTTTCACACTTTCCACAAGGCTGCAAATTCTTCTCCCCTTTGGCCTTTCACTTCCTACCTCTTCAGGACAAGTCAAGGAGTGAGGTGTTACTGGACCAACAAAGATCTAACCCACAGCCTGTTACTGCCATCATGGCTAACAGAACTGGTTCTATGGGCTAAATAAGGTCTTCTCAATTACAGCAACTGCTGTAACTCCTCATGGGAAAACTTCTAGATACATATAAGCCATAGGGCTTAGTCCTATTCTGAAGTCCTTTGATGAGCTGGCATGGAAGAACATACTAATCTGCTATTGCTAACTTATGTTTCCAGTTTCACAGTGCAGTGAGTAGTCTGGTCATAATCATCACACAGGTTTCATCTTTGCAAGCTGAGCAAAAAAAGAGGTGTTTATTTTGCAGATTCATCTGTGAGTTGAAATTTCTACTTTAACTGCTAAATCTGGAGCTC